AGGCAAAATAATGCCCCTAATGACCTTTGTCCTTTGTTGTTATGCCCATGAATATGTTACATGGCAAAAAAAATCCAACTTTGCTGGTGAAATTATGGTTGCTAATTAGCTGACTTTGGGAGAGGAGATTATCTGGGTGGGCCCAATGTAATTACAAAGGTTCTTAAAAGTAGAAGAGGGAGGCAGAAAAGGTCAGAGAGATGGAGTCGAAAATTAAGTCAGGCAGATTGAAAGCATGAGAAAGACTTGATGCACTCTTGCTAGTTTGAAGATGGAGGGCATTACATGGAAATTGAGAGAAGGAACTGAATTCTAGATAAACCTGGAAGTGGACTCTCCCCAGAGCCTCCAGCAAGGAACACAGCTCTATCAACACCTTGATTTTGGCCTTGTAGGAACCTGAGCAGAGTATCCAGTTCTGACTCACTGAAATTGTGAGATAATAAGTGGGTTTTCTTGCAAGCTTCTAAGTGTCAGGTAATTTGTTACACAACAATAGAAAATTAAGGCGATACTCAAAATTGATTTAAATATTAAAAATGACTTGACAAGTAAATTAAAAATGCAATTAAAAATCATGCTTCTAAGTGAAATCAAAGAGGATATTACAAACTATACTGAAAACATGAAAAGAAAACTTTTTATCTATAACCTATGGGAAAAATTGTTCTCAGAGAAAAATACATAGCATGAAGTGCCTTCACCATTTTAAAAAGAGACACAAAAGAGAAAAGAACATATCATTTTTCCTAAGGTACTAGAAAAATACAGCTCAATAAACCAAAAGAAACTAAGAAGAGATCCTTGATAAAGATAAAACTTTTAAAAATGAATTAAATATGAAAAATAACTAAGAAGAACAAAGAAACCCAAAGGCTCATTTTTTCAAAAGACCACCATCAATAACAAAAGAGACAAATCCCTGGCAAACCTGTTCATTGATACAGATAAATAGCAAAGATATAGGAATCTAAGAATGAGGAAGGGCACATAACGACAGATAATGTGGGGTAAAAGAATCATGAGAGAGTGCTATAGGCCAGTGATGCTCAACATTTTTGGCACCAGGGACTGGTTCCATGGAATGTAATTTTTCTATGGACTGAGGGTGGGGGATGGTTTTCGGGGTGATTCAAGTGCATTACATTCAAGCTCACCTCCTGCTGTGCAGCTCAGTTCCTATAGCCCACGGACTGGTACCAGTCCTCAGCCCAGAGGTTGGGGATCCCTACTATAGGCAACATGGGGGCAACAAAATTGAAAAATAAAGGAAATCATTTCCTGGAAAAGTGTAAAATTATTAAAGGTGAGTCAAAAAAATTGAAACTTGGTTTGACTAATTATGATAGGAGAACCTGAAGAGATGACTAAAGATATTGCAAAGTCACTTGGACCACATGAATTTATAACTGAGTCTTACCTAACTTTTAATGTTATTTGAGCTATTCTAGGTGACATAAACAGGTGGAGCATTCATTAATTCATTTGACAAACCCAATAAACCTTTTATGTCAAAATCTAATAAAAATAACAAAAATAATGCTATAGATCAATCCCACGTAATAAAAGGGCACAGTATCTAAAGAAATATTGGGACATAGACCTCAGCAAAAATGACATTATATGAACATTAGATTGTACTCCAAAAATGTAAGGGTATTCAATATCAGGCAATCTGTTAACAATCTATTTGTTTATCAACATATTGAAGAGTAAAATTCAGGTGATGCTAGATGCTGAGAAGTCATTTCCAATAAAAAATTTATGACAAATGGGAATAGAATTAACAAAGGCTATTAAAAACAGCAAATACTATTCTAAAAAGCAACATATTAAGAATATTTCAAGTAGGAATGCTCATTTTTACTAGTATTACTTAACATTTTATTGTATTTTCTAATAAATTCAATAAGATGAGAAAAAATAATTGGCTATGAACACTGGAAAAGAGCTAAAATCTGACTCATTTTGGATATGATTCAATAGAGACTCTAGAATAAAATTACTAGAATTATTAAGAGAATTCAGTTAAGGTAGCTAGATTCAAGGTGAATATATACAAATAAAGAGTTTTTTTCTATTTTGATACTAAATATCAATAAATGGAAATAGCAGAAAACAATGTATTGACAATAGAAATACATTTATAGAATGCATAGAGCTAAATGTAATAACAAATTACTTACATTTATTATATTATTAAACTTGTGGATAAATGAAATGAAATACAAATTAGAATCACAATAGTACTTGACTCTTTTTGATTGGAAAATATTTTAACATTTTTATGTGGAAGAATAAAATTCCTAAGAAATGCTAAAAGAAAAAGTATGAAAAAAAACAGGCAATGGTTGATTTCACTTACCAGATACTAAAAGATATTATAGACCCACTGTAATCAAATCAGTATGGTATTGACATAGCATGATACAAGTATATCAGTCAAACTGCATAATGAATCCAGAAATAGGTAGTAATGTATATGAGAATTTTATATAATGAATATGTCTATTCAAATCAGTGGCAAAAGATGTATTACTTGATAAATGGTGCCATTGTAATAGTCTATTCATCTGGAAAGAAATAAGCCTAGACACATTCTACTCCCATACCATACACAAAAATAACTATCAGATTAATTGAAGCCATAAATGTAAAAAGCAAAACAGTAATTTTTTTGCAAGAAAATCTGAAAGAATACACATACAATCTTGATGTGTAGAAAACATGTTTAACCAACACTGGCAATTCTGAAGCTGTGAAAGAAAATATAGATATAGCTGTAAAAATTTAAAAGTTTTGTTCATAAAGGTTATAAACAAAGTCAAGAACAAAAAGATAACACTTGTAAAAATAAAAGTGTTCTCATAATTTAAGAAAACAAAAAAGCCCAAAGAAAAATGAACAAAACATATAAATAATAAAATCTCAAAATATAAATGCAACAGCCAACACACATTTGAAAAGATAATCAATCTCATCTGAAATAAAAGGAATGTGATTAGTGATGCAATATCATTATATACCTACTAGACTGGCAAACATTAAAAAGCAAGATAAAACTTATTGCTGATGCAAATGCAGGGAGAAGGCCATTTCCATACACTGATAGTAGAAATATTTGAAGAGTCCTGGCCTTTTTGGAAATCAAAACTAAAAAGGAAATATTACCTTCACTCCAGCAACATCACTTTTGAGAATCTCTCCCATAGGAATAAAAGCACCATGGTGTAATGAGATAGACATAATGTCAAAACAAACAAGCAAACAAACAAAAAAACCAAAACCCTGGAATAATATGGAATACTATATGGCCATTAAAAAGAATCAACTGAAGCTATGCTAAATGACTGGGAGAGAATTCTGCTAAGTGTTAATGAGCAATAAAAGTGTTGTAATATCCCATGTTTGTGAGAAAACCCCAATGACTAAGAAAATCTTTATTTGCATATATATGTATATGTGTGTGTGTGAATATATATTATTATACTTAGGTTACCTGACTGAGGATAAGCAAGAAGGGGGCTAATGTAGAAGGAGGGTGGAGAGCCAAACAGAAAGAATAAAAATTACTATAAAGTATGTATGACATGGCATTTACTACTTAAATGGTCATTACACATGTATTGAATCGAAATCTTTATAATACACATTTAAAGAAAACAAAACAAAATTTAAAATAAATGATTTCAGCAGACAACTTAATAAGCAAAAAATTGATCAACAAAATGAACCAAAGGAATTTAGGAAGAAGGAATGAAACAATAAAGGTAAAAGCAGAAAACAACAGAATGAAAATATGACTCCTGACAAGACTAGTAAGGAACTGAGAAAGTTCCTGGAAATATTATTTTTAAGAGAGGGAAAGAGAATACAAACAATATGAAAATGAAAAAAGAGCCTTGGCTGGTGTGGCTCAGTGATTGAATGCTGGCCTGTGAACCAAAGGGTCACCATTTCAGTTCCCAGTCAGGGCATATGCCTGGGTTGCAGGCCAGGTCCCCAGTTATGGGGTGTGTGAGAGGCAACCACACATTGATGTTTCCTTCCCTCTCTTTCTCCCTCCCTTTCTCTAAAAATAAATAAATAAAATCTTTAAAAATTCCTCCTTTCTTTTTTTAAAAAAATGAATAAAAATGAAAAAGGAGATATAACTACAGACACAAAGTAGTTTAACAGTATCCCAAGACTATTATGTAACTTGATACCAATACATTATCGAATGTAGGGATAATCGCTTTCCACGAAAATATATATAACCAAATTTGATTGAAGAAGAGGTATAAAATCTGAATAAATCAATGCCCATAGATAATATTGAAAAGGTTATTTAATACTATTTTCCCAAAATGCACTAGAGCCCCCAAAATATAAAAGCTTCTGAACTCATGGTTCCTACTATCCTTACACCAAAATTGAGCAAAGAAATCAAAACCATAGAACACACACACAATAAAACTAGAGACTAAACCATCTTCAATATTGATGGGATCTCATTGTTCTGCTTCCTTCTATGGAAGTGTTCTCTCTCTTATGCTCCTTGCCTCTTTGCCCTTTCTCTACTCCACTCTCCAGTTTTCAGAGTGGCAGCATGTGACAATAAAAATCAATAGACAACAGAGAAGCCAAAGAACTTACAGGTACAACCCATGGACATGAACTAAGGTTGGGAGGAGAATGCTGGAGGGTGGGGTGCTGCAGGATGGAGGGGGGATAAAGGGGAGGAAAAATGGGAAAACTGTAATAGCATAATCAATAAAATATACTTAAGAAAAATCAATAGACAAAACAGAACAAAATATCAATGAATAGGTCAGATCTTTGGAAAGGATTGGTAGTTAGCATTTGTACTAATAGCACAGATGCATACATGCCATACCTGGAAATGCTTTTCAAGGCTTAACTAGCATCACAGCCACTCTAACCTAATGTCTGCACCTTCCTTCAACTAGAGTCACATCCCCACAATCCTGGTTGGACCCTATAGAGTATGTCTTTACCTTGTATCCATGTGGAGCTCACCGAGCAGTTCACTATGCGTGTAGTCCCAGGACAGTTCAACTGCGCCCAGGTAGTATCTTCTGGTGGCACTAAAGCTGAATGGCAAAAGGCACAGAAAGAAGCAGGTGGAGAGCTCTGTTTGCATGGCTCTTAAGGCTAAGAAATGTTCAACTGGAGAAACGCAGATTAATTATTCTCTAAAATATCGTTGGCTCCCAAGACAGAAAAAGTAAATTTTCTATGATTTAATGAAAAGTTCCAAAAGCTTTATAGAGAATTTTAGGGAACTTTACTTGCTGGATGTGACAGCAGCAGCACTAAGCAGTAAGGGATAGGATTGCTTCCTTTTTGGCAGTGGGAAGCAGCCACAGGAAGAACTGAATAGGAAAAGGGAGGCTGAGCTAAAGCTTAACCCATTCACCTCTGAGAGCAGTAGGTGCACAAGAGCATTGCTTTCATCTGAACCTTTAAGGAAGGGAAGTGAGGGAGGGGGAGGTCCAGGTAAAGAGGATCTTTTTAAAAAATAGGTTTATTTATTTTTAGAGAGAGGAGAAGGGAGGGAGAAAGAAAGAGAGAAACATCAATATGTGTTTTCCTCTCATACACCCCCAACAGGGGACCTGGGCCTACAACCCAGACATGTGCCCTGACTAGGAATTGAACTGGCGACCCTTTGGTTTGCAGGCCGGCACTCAATCCACTGAGCCACACCAGCCAGGGAAAGGGTCTTTACTTTGTACTCATATTCTTAGCCTACTCCAACCCTCTTCCTTAGTTGTAGCAGCAGATTCTGGGATCCATTTGCATAAGCAAGAGTAACCAGTATCCGAATAGTCTTCTTATTTCTACCTTTGTACCTCACATAACCACCACAAAGTGACTTTTCAAAACTATAAAGCAGATCCTGTCATTCCTTTGCCTCAAAATCCTCCACCAGCTTCTGACCTCACTTGTAGTAAGATCCTATGTCTCTGCTAGGGCCTAGAGCATCTGCCATGATCTGCATGTCCCTTTCTCTGACCTCCATGGTCACATCTCACTTTGGCTACTGGCCTTTTGCACCTAGACCTTAGCACTCACTATTTCCTCTACCTGAAACATCTTTCCCCCAGACTCCACACATTTAAGTCCCACATCTCCTTTAAGTCTTGGCTCAAATCTTGCCTTCCCAACGAGCTCAAATATGGACCACATTTCCATGGCAAGTTCTCTACCCACACTGACACTGCTGATATTCCTCCTGGCTTCATTTTTCTTTCTTTTTTTAAAAAATATTTTATTAATTATGCTATTGCAGTTGTCCCATTACCCCCCCTTCATTCCCCTTCACCCTGTACACCCACTCTCATTTTTCTACATAGCACTCATAACCACACAGAGTTAATATTTTATTTATCTTTCATTGTTGTTACCTGATGCTTCTTAGGGTTGTTTACTTTGAGCCCTGGCTGGCATAGCTCAGTGGGTTGAGCGCAGGCTGCAAACCAAAGTGATGCTGGTTCGATTCCCAGTCAGGGCACATGCCTGGGTTGAAGGCCATATTTCCAGTGGGGGCCACATGAGAGGCAACCACACATTGATGTTTCTCTCTCTCTTTCTCCCTCCCTTCCCTCTCTAAAAATAAATAAATAAATAAATAAATCTTTTTTAAAAAGTTGTTTACTTTGGCCCAGGTATAGGACATTATATCTCTTTAAATGAGAATGTAGCCATGCTTAGTTCAAGCAGAGACCCTACTCAGGTTAATATATATTAGGAGGAGTAAGGGGCTCTCCAAGGGCCTCAAAGCATAGAAGATAAGAAGAAACTTGGCCAGGGTTGCATTAAGAAATGTTATCACTGAGAGTCCAGTTCTACATGAGTAAGAATGTGTTTAGGAGCAATTAGTGAGATGTCCAGCTTGGAAACAAGCTGGAAGAAGGTCCTTTGTTAAAAATTTGCTGTACCCTCTCTCTGCCAGGCACTAGGATGTAGAGGTAACAGCTGGCATATACTACATGCTAGGAACAGTTCTAAGTGCTTTCTAATGCAGCTGTTATTCTTGTCTTCATTTTACAGGTGATGAAACTGAAGCACAGAGCGGTTAGGCAACTTGGCCATGGTCATGATAGGGGAACTCTATCTTAAAGCTTTTAGCCTTAGTTATAGTTGATAGGGTTAAGTGATTAATGCATGAGGAAAGCTGTGATTCCAGGAACTGGAATGCATGACATATGTGACTCCAGCAGGTTGACAAGCAATTTTACCTTTGTGCTCTAGGGGGTCTGCAAGCTCTTGGAGATGATATCTGAGCTATTGTGTTCCAGGGAGAGAAGGTTATGATGCAGATAAAGAATTGTTGATCAACAGATAAAGAAGTACTAGGAAAATCACAGCCAAACTGCAACTCTTACCCAATTAAACTTTTTTTCAAACCCCTAAACTATCCGTTCTTCTCTCTATAAAAAGATCAGTTTGAAGTGAGATGTTAATACAGTTTTTGAGGGTACATAACCCACCATCTTCTCAGAATGCTGGCATCTGAACAAAGCACCCATAAAGATGCAATCCTTGTCTCTACTTATTGGTTCTGGTAGTAACATGCAGCACAAATGCTGGCTTTTCCAGTTTTAGTCACACAGTTTGTAAGTGGTAGCCTTTAAACCCATGTAATCTGGCTCCAAAAGTCATGATCCTAACCCCTATGCCTCAGAGAGTAATAAAATCCAGCTCTTACCTTCTGGTAGACATAGTCCAATGGGGGAGACAGAAAAGTAGCCCAGTAGTTACTATACAGAGTGATACATTCTCTGCCAGGTGCTTTGTACATTATCTGATTTAACTGTCACAATGAGACTACAAAGTGAGTAGTACAGTTGAATCATCTGAGGTGCAGAGAAGTTGAACGGTTTGCCCGAGGCCATGCATCTACCAATTTGTCCTAGCCAGACACTGTCCTAGGCACTGGTTGCACAGTAGTGAAAAACAAAAACAACTGAGAGACAATAAATAATAATTATAATATTTACAATACATGAGTATCTGATATACTGTTTTAGAAGGTAAAATAAATATGCACAAAAGGAAAGTACAGTCAGCCCTCTTTATCCATAGGTTTTGCCTCCCAGGGTTGGGAATCCTCAGTTGTGTGAGATCCAATAGAAAGCATTGTTCTACACCATTTTACATAACAGAATTGAGCATCTGAGGATTTTGGTATCTGTGGGGGCCCTGGAACCAACCTCCCGTGGATATCAAGGGATGATTGCAAGCAGGAGGAGAGGGAGGGGTGTACCAGGTTGCAATTTTAAATGAGGGTGGGTCATGGAAGGTCTCACTGAGATTATATTTCAGCAAAGGGACTTGGACTTGTACACTGAAAGCAAGAGGGAGCCAGGGTAGGGTTCTGAGTATAGGAGGGATCTGATCACAATTACCTCTTATTTTTATCTTCTATTGAATTTATTGAGGTGACATTGGTTAAGAAAACTATGTAGGTTTTGTTAGGGTGGTCAATGGATGATGTGTGCTGTGAAAGAATTCACAAAAAGAAGAATGTGTAGAGAGTAAAGATTTTATTTACTCTCCAAGAAAGGAGAGGGGCATGGTGTGGAGAGACACACCAGCACTGAGGGGTGGGGGCTTTGAGCTTTTATTGGATTATAATCAGACTGAAAGGGTGAAGGGGATGCTGTTATGTGGCCCTGGGCTGTTGGGGCGTTGTAACAGAGGCTGCGGTTTGTTCCAATGTTGCTTCTGCCTGTGGCTGCAGGGAGGGGTTAGCCATGTTCTGTTTTTGCTTTCCAGTAATTTCCAGTCCTGGGGACAAGCTCAGAAGAGGAAAATGGCAGTCATGTTCAACAAGGTCATAGGCCTGCTCAGCAAATGGTACCATGACAGCAAATGGGGCTGGCTTTGTCCTTTCATTTCCCACTCTGGTTTTAAAATGGATTTATTCTTAATGACCTGTCCCAGTTCTGGTTCTGGGGAGTAAATACAAAGGTCTCTCCTTCTGTAACTACTTCAGATGGGCTAGGGATGTGGAGCTGTCCCTGCCTGTGGGTTTGGGTCTGGGTCCTTAAGGAGAAGAGGTGGGATTGGACAGCCCATAAAGCAAGAGGTGTGACTGAAGGCCATTTGTGGAAAGAATCTTCCAGAGCCTGGACACTCTGTTGAATGAAGGATATGAGATATTTGAAGAGACATGGCCTAAAAACAAGAAGAAAAAGGCTGCTATAGGTCCTAGGAAGGGAATTAGCCAAGAAAACCAAGAGCAGATATTGAACTTAAAATCTCCAAAAGGGAGAGTCAGAATAGTGGGTGAATTCTGTATGGCTGACACTGCATCAGTAGCTCTCAATAATTCCAAGTCAAAGGATGAAAGAAAAAATGAAGCATTAGCTTGGAAGAAAACTAAGGAAACTAGGATTCAATCAGTTTGTGGGTGACAATTGGACATTGTGATTTCCACTGAAACACAGTTTCTCTTCCTAAAATCACCGTCATTTTATCCAAGAGACTGTATTAAATTCAGTTTCAATTTGGCCTGATTATTTGCATGAACACAACAAGAATAGTAATTGACCATACAGGCACTTTCAAATCTGTTTTGCTAGAATTTTACAAGGCATCTTCAGATAGAGCTTTAGTCAGCCCTTCAGGGCACAGAAGCCAAGCCACACAGTTGCCATATGGCTTTGCCTATAATCCCTATAGGTTTGGTTGTATTCCTCAAGTTCTTGAGGTCCCCGAAATGTCTTTAGGTTCCTTCCTTGCTATCTTTCAGGAATGTGGCCTTCGTTCCTTACATAGAAAGACTATCATGAACCATGTGACCAAGCAAGGTACCAGGCCATTTTTCCAAGGGGCTCTTATTGGCTTCAAAAATCAGTCTTAACTCCTTAAGGCTTTCTGGGGACATCCAGAGTCCAGGCATGACTCTTTCAATCATGACATTCCAGACAAAGACTTGGTTAATAAAACCACATTTGAAAACTGGTGCTATTATAAAGAGAATGGATTCTTATTGGGTTTATGCAAATAAACATGTTACCATGAAAATAATACTGACTCATTAAGAGTTGCCAAATTCTGGACAGATTTGATAGGGAGGAAAATAGAAATGTTTCAATATTGCTTATGGGGGTATACCTTATAAATTATTCTAAGGAAAGAAGCAAGTTTTATTATAGCTGGAAAACAAAAAGATTTAAAATTAGCAATATTTTGAACAAAGTCATAAGAATAACAATTATCTTTAGTTCATTCAGGCCCATATAACGAATTTTGTTTGTGTTAACTATTCACCAGTATTTCCA